GCCGTGATAGTTGCGGCGTTTGATTCTGGCTCTGTCGTTGGGGAGTTAAATAATAATACGTTTATGGCAGATATATCTGTTTGAGTGTTTTGTGACCGTTTTCCAGTCTCAGGAGGTTTACTATCTGCAGCAATGAACGGCGTAGTTATGGTTTTGTTAGGTGTTTCATCTCTCCCTTGGATTGTTGCTTGTATTTCAATTAACGTTTTTAAGATGATGCCAGGTTCTTTTGTTTGCGTGCTACGTGATTCAATACGCCCTTTGGCGTCAGTGGGCCTAACAACCTCACTGATCAGAAGTTTCTTTGGAATACTACCCTGATACTCAATATGTACTTCTCTTCGGGAGAAGCTTTCGGGAATGGCTTTAGTCGGATCTATGTGTTCAGACATACTATCTATGAGCATTCCAGTTAGTAAGGTGTCAGGTGCAGTCTGTGCAGCACTTTCTACAGCTGTGCCCAATGATTCCGCTATTGTAATTTTAGTTTCCGTCTCTTGAACAGGAATATCGATGCCCTTGTCGCCCTCTGTAAGATCTGTAGTTTGAAGTTCAACTTCGCTAATGGCAGTTTCACTTGGGGTGGCTTTATCTTCTGCGGGGGGCTGTGTAGGAGCGGTGGTGGGGATGGGGATGGCTGTGGAGCTTTTTACTTTATCTGCCTCCTTATGTATGAGCCCTTTTGCTTCCTCGTCGGACAAATCCTGGCTCAATGGTGGCGTTCCGCCAGGTACGGCCTTCCGTATACAGATTTCATGCTCCCTCCATTGATGTGTTCCTGTTATATATTCATCCCAATCGTCTGAGTTCCATTCATCCCAGTCGTGCATTAACCAGTCTTCCACTTGCAAGATTTTTCTCTGAAACAAGAACACATTTTCCGATCAGTGTAAGTGGTGAAGATCTACATTTGCTATCCGTAAACAAAGCTATCGGTTACAGATATATAGTTCGTCATTGCACTAATTTATCATTTACATTTTTGGGAAGTTAAATGTTGCTTGTTTAAACCTTATTCTGCGAATGAAATCCGATGCACCGTTAGCGGCAAAATTGCCACGGGCCAAACAGAGCCGACATCAGATTTACATACGCTTTTTATTTATATTTTCAACAATAATTACAGAAAGTTGCCTTAATATTGGTCGTTAAGTATTAACGTATATTTTCAGATGAAACAAGATTATTTTGTGTTTGAAGTCACAATAGTTATTTACGAAACTTTTGACGTAAGATATGTTATTGTAATAAGAGATTGGAGAATTATCAAACGATGCGTTTAGGAAGAGTTTGATCACCAACGACGAACAATACATAAAATGTTTGTAAAAAAACTAATTATAACCCAGAAATCACTATTTTCTGCCAGATTTTGGGGGGGAAATTCGAACGCATTAGTGAACACAGTCTTAACCCAAATCTATACCGTTCTCGGGCGCAACTACAAACTATTGGAGACCTGCATATGCCTGCTCCCGCGGGTATTCTGCACTCAAGAGCTGCAGATCTGCCTGCGAGAGCGGTGCAAGGGCAAGTAGTGGGAGGTAGGCAGCTTTGTGGGGAGGGGAGCCGCTTGCTATTGCACACTGGGAACGACGCGGCGCGTATATTGTATGCCTGGGCTTCTAATGCAATGTTCCATGCTGACCTATAAGGACCGTAATGCACAGTTTATGTTCTTCTTGGCACTGCTACGTATTGACATATTTTCCTTCCTTTATTTTCTTTTGAATATGCTCATTGTGATTCTTAAACAATATTTTAAAACAATTTAATATTTGATTTTTTACCAGAAAAGCTATAATCTGAATGACAGCAAAACTATGTGAGCAAGCTAAATGATAAGAAATTATGTGATTATACCTAACGAAAACACCCATTGTACTGGATATCGTTCAACTCTAATGTAGGAGATATTTATAATTATTTAGGTTTACGCCAGTGAAGATGAATTCATTTTGTATGAACATTATACTCATTAAGTTCAGTTAATATATTTTAAATATATCAACGTCGCAAATAAGTATGGATAAATAGTGAACGTTGATTGGATATTAGAAATATATAATGTACTCTTGGCAAAAATTGGAGCAGAAAGTTAGCATGATTTTTTAAGATTTTTTTGGATATAACTCTCTTATACTATTTTTGTAGCTGATCGATTCTTTTAGCGATCCGAAACTTTTTTATGAAGTCTAGGGTTGAAAAGAGGTGACATGCATTTTGTTTCTTCTTTTTTTCTAATCCCACCCTTTCAGAAATATTTCTAATTATTTTTACGAAAAATAATGGGCGCGTTAATGTTTTAATCTTTTTGCGTAAATGCCGTTTCCTTCAGAAAAATAAAACTACTTTTAAATTTAACTTAAAAAGATGTACATGTCATATGATGTAAAAATAATTTGTGTAAACATATTGCTTAAATGTTAAAAATATAAATGCACTTTTTCCCGGAGATATCGAATTTTTATTTCAGTGCAACGATGTCATTTATATTGAATATATGTTCCTCCATATTGCAATGCAAAGGCTTACTTGCATACACTAACTAGACTTCTCTCTATTTAGAGCCCTTACAGCGTTCTTATTCCAGTAATACACCCCCTTTCGAAGCAATGAAATACCCGTAGATCGTATATATTATATTACCTTATTAGAAGGTATGTGTGTAACAACTACTGGAAATATCTACGATTTTGGAAAATTGCAACACAACTTCGGACAGTGTTTCCTCCTATACGGGCTGGGAAAATACGTTTTGCACATTTACATGAATCCTACAATACTTTTAAGACCACATCTGTGAAGATGCTGAGGACGTTGAATGTTTCCTGGACTCCTCATTGAGATCCGCTCTTATTTACTATATTGTCCTAATGTAGAGAGAGAGTTATTCCGATAGGCGTCGTTTGAGAAAGCAGCTCAAAGCTTGAGGCATGTCCAGCATCGCTTACTAGTGACGGGTTGCGTTACCCGTTTCATTCTCTGACTCCATTTGAGTGTGTCACGCCAGTCGCCTACACTATGTGTATTGCTCGATAAATAGTACAACCTATATTGTTAGTAAGCACATTCCTAGATGCCAGCATTTGTGTTTACAATCGTAACGACAGTGTGACGATAGACAACATTTGACTTGTAAGTCGCGGATTCAATCCTGGGCCAGTTTGAAATTTGCTTAATATGACCTGTGAACAACGGCGAGTTTGTGTCCCCTGCTGGGAGCGAGTTTGTAGGACGACTACTTAGATGTAAATTTTCCCTTGTTCCCCACATTACTTCCAGGTGAATGCCGAAAGGATCACTCGAAATATTTTCTAACCCGTTCCTTTTCCACTCCATGCTGAAAGTCAAACGATGGATTGATCCACATCTTGACTGATTGATTATTAGAGATTCCGATCGATAGCCGACCTACAGTCGGCTAACGGGGTTTTCCCCAACCGGGTATCACCTACTAGCAAAGCACTGCCACAGCCAGGACAAGTTCTGAGCTCATGACCGACCTTCCGGCACATGGGGTAGTGTAGTGCATTTGAGCGCGTGTATGTAAGTAAGGGGTAGAATAGGACAAGGACGGAAACATCGCACGAGGTCTGTAGACCGTTTGTTTGAGTTCTTCTCCGTCATTCACCTGGTTTTGATCGGAGAAACCACGGAAAACTATCAACAAGGGCAGACGGCCGCTAGGATTCTCCTCCAGACAGCGACATAACCCAGCTAGCCATCTAGTGTCGAAAATCTGGGCACCGTCGGGACTCGAACCCCAGGACGTCCCGATCAGAGACATTGCAGTGACATCAGTTGATACACTGATTCACCGCACCCTGCACAAAATGGTTTTCTAAAATGCAGTATGCACTTGGTTCAAGAGTAAATTTATTCTCGAATGAAATTTTGTCAAATAAACTACGTGGGAATTCTGAATGGCTGCGCCGCAATAATCACTCAAAAGTTGGCTTGAGAAAATGATTTCTAGGCAAAAATGTGCATTATAAAAGCATAGAAACACTCCAAAAACATGTAAACTGTTTATTATTTATTAAAGAAATGAATATATTTGTTCAGAAAAAATTAATCGAGATAAAAAGGGCAGTCCAATTGTGTCCCATTTAACTTGATAAATTGAAATAACTCACAAAATACGCGATGTACGAAAAATTTAGCCGAGACCAAATCTTAACAGTTTTGAAGGGGGAATCATTCTATGCTAAAAATCAGCAGACCCCTCTGTCCTCAGCGGGTGGGACGGTGGGCAACATTGAAATCTTAAATAGGAACCCCCATTTTTTTAAATTTCAGATTCGGATTCTACGGACACAAATACATACGTTTTGTCTGAAACTTTTTTCTGAATTGTGATAGGTGGAGGTGTAATCGCAAAAACTTGATTTTCGAAGATTTCCGACTGTAATTTGAGTGGTTTTCAGCGTGGTCGATTATTTCTCAGTGGTTATTAAAAATCAGTATTTTCTACGGAAGTCAATAAACTACTTTTAGCGTAACCCAGGAACAACCACGTGACGTAGTAGTTTTCTGTTTCCTTCGGGGTGCTTTTTTCAGTGAGTCCCCTCTCACTATCGGAGTGCTGGTTTTAGATGATTCTACAAATACCTCATCATTTATTTAAATTAAGTGCTCAAAATGATGGCCCTGAACCTCAGTGCATTTATTGATTCGTCCTGCAAATGAACGAACACATCGCGTACACGTATCTGGTGCAATCGCGGCATAAGCGTCCCTTATTCGTTGCATCATGTTTTCACGAATAGTAGATGTTTCTTAATAAACGACATCTTTTAGGTAACCCCACAAAAAGAAATCTGGTGGTTACGTTGGAAGTTACGTAGATGTTATTTCATTTTTCCCAAGTTCCTGGCTATCTAACAAAATGATGGACACTTCTACATGGCCAGAGGTTGCAGATGTCCTTTAATTTCTGTACACATTGGAAATTAATAATATAATGTTTTACAACATGCATTGTAATGTGTTTCTAGGTTACAACGACCAGTTCGGTGCATGCTGGATCGTGACGAAGATATGATAGTGACTGGTCAGAGGCATCCTTTTCTTGGACGGTTCAAAGTTTCTTTTACCAATACTGGTAAAATAACAGGTTGTGAAGTGTATATATATAATAATGGTGGCTATTCAATGGATTTATCGGGAGCGGTGAGTGCATATTTTCATTGTCTCTGTATAGAACTCCAAGAATCCAATGCCACAAAGATTAACGTAATGATTGCTGATGAACGGCTAGGTTTTGCAACTCATTTTAACCGCAAACTGCAAATTTCTGCAAGTTTTGTTTCCTGACATATACATACATACATATTGTAACGTATTAGCCAGCGTGCCTCATGGCATCTATTTGGGGACGCTTGGAAAAGGATTAGCCTCGCCACAGGAAGAAGGGTTTTTCCGTAAAGGGAAGAACGCGGAAACGGGAGACACAAGGCTTTGGGAGTATCCGGCCTATAGAAACTTTTCACTGTTATAACAAGCGAGGGGGTGGCGTGACGTAGTAGGTCACGTGGGCCTCGCCTATATAACAGAGTGTACAGAGCCAGTGGGTGGGTTCTGGAGACAGTGGGAGAACCTCGTGCGTGTGCACAAAACTTGGCGCCACTACGGTGCATATGCGAGCCAGGCTCGCGAGGCTCGAGTCACTAGTTGACGAAGCCTGCGGACTTTATGTCCTTGGGTGACTGCGGTCACGGGGGAGCGATGCTGTGTGCGTGCTCCGAGGTGAAGAGTGGTTGAGTGCCATGATTCACGCCGATTCTCAATCGGATCAGATCGCTCCTGCGATCGAGGCAAACCAGCCGTTGGTGCGCCAGAACGGACTTTGTGTCCCAGCGTGATATCCGGTCACGGAAGCTAGGCTTTGTGCGCGCTTCAAAAGTAGGAGTGGCGAATGCCACAATCAAAACCATCTTCAATCGGGTTTGGATCGCTCCCGCGATCAGGGGATAGTAGGTCTATCAGAGCTAGGGTGTAACAAGATTATTAAGTATTTGTTTTGTTTTATTTGTTAATAAATATTTTTGTTATATGAAAGCTCTGTGTCTGTGGTCGCTGTGAGTATTCATGACGTCACAATATATCTGTGTGTGTGTTTGTGTGTGTGTGTATATATGTCGTAACTTGTTTGGTTTTATTGCATTTTACTATTTATGATATTTTACAATCTTCACGACTTAATTGTATTTTTTATTACTTTTACATAATTATTAAAAAGACTATAATTAGAGTCGAAACGTTAAAATTACATTATTTGAAAAAAATTGTAGGTCTAATTTCCCAGCAAAAGCTCGGAAAACTTTTATATTATTCTTCAAAATTACATTTTAAATTAAACTTAAATACATTTGTCAAAATATAGTCATTTTCGCGTAATTTTGTGTGAAATAGTGAAGACTTTTAGAGATTACATAAACAAATTGTATTTAAATATGCAAATTTTCTCTATTTTTTGTACCCAAACACGTCCAATTTCCACGTAAACAACTGAATTTTCGGATCTTTCACATTTTCAATATTATTTGAAAAGTTTCGAGAGGGCTGGGGCGGTGACTCACTCGTGGGAGATACCTTGGTTGGGGAAAACCCTGCTAGCTGACGGTAGGACATCGCGGGATTTCGCCGTACAGCCATGGAAAGATCACCGCCACCTCCAGAGCCAAAAGCATGCATTACATTTACAAGACTAATGACCCTGGTAGTTGACGTGCTCGGAATCACTACACAATCTCTCAATCAACTTCCTCTAACACGGTGTAGCGAAAATTCATGCTTAGTCTGTGATAAAGAAAAATCGATTAACGCGTCAAAACATGTCTGTACGTCTGTCTGTTGAAATAATTTGAGCGCTTTGGGGAAAAGCTTGTTAATTTTTGATCGGTTTTTTTAAAACATTTCCCCTATTTCACACAAAAATATGCGAAAACTACTCATTGTTCAAACAATTGTAAATTGAGAAATTGGTGTCAAGCCCCCATAACACGTAGATACACTGACTACACTACATATTCTAGAAAGTAATTTACTGCGTATAGAAGCATTAGTAATGGCAATTGACACGGGGGACCATTCTGGAAATGACATGAGGGGAATACTTGGTTAACACTTTGCTCCTGTCTCCACTACACCATTTACCTATAACCTAAGCTCTGTAATATTAGAAATTCATTTCGAAGACTATGATTGCTACTTTTAACATATGTATGTTTACTGGTTTCAGGTTCTGGAAAGAGCAATGTTCCACACTGAAAATTCATATAAAATAGATAATGTCAGAGTACATGGATATGTTTGCCGAACTAATATTCCTTCAAATACAGCATTTAGAGGATTTGGTGGGCCACAAGGAATGTTTTTTGCTGAAACAATGATCAGGGATATTGCTACATATCTGGGAAAGGAACCTTCAGAAGTATGTTAAAGATACTTTGATTATTTTGAAACTTTAATTTTGTGTTATTCAGTGTTTTACTTTTTTCAGGTCGCTGAAATTAATTTATATCAAGAAGGAAATATAACGCACTATAATCAACCGCTACTTAATTGCACCCTACAAAAATGTTGGACAGAATGCGTTGCCAGATCTGATTACTCAGCAAGACAACAAGAAATTCAGCAATACAATGAGTACGCCATTTACATACATAATCATTTTGAATGAATTTCAAGTTCACTTACAGTACATACCGTTTACGTACGTAAGCATATTAAAAAAGAAAACATTCTTGATGTTACACCTTTCTTTTGTTTCTATGAATATCTGTACAATAGTTGGATCCCTGTTAACATCATGCAAGTTGTATATCGTAGTTTTAAAGGTGAAAAAACTTCGGTAGCTTCGAACCGCCTGGCTCTGAACTGTGTTGAACCGTTCGGCGGTGTTGTGCGTAGATTTGAGAAACTCACGGATATACCCTCCTTCAACTTACAATAGAGAACACAATGGCGACATTTGTAGTTCTAAGGATTAGAATGCACTTCTATTCTGTCTGAACCAGCGCTGTTTTCACAATGTCACGGTCTTTCACGTCGTTAATATTTACTTTGAAAGTAAATTTTATAATGTCGTCCATGTCTGAACACAAGTACTTAAAATGATCTCTTATCAAGTTTCGGGAAATCTCAAAAGCTCTTTGTCAGTAAATGAGCTAAAAATTGTGCATTTTCAAAAACTGTCAAACGACATTTTCACAAAAATAACAGCAAATTTTCTAACAATTCTTACTTTCTCCCACTTCTTTCGTAAGAAGAGAAGGTATTGAAGGAATCGTGCGCCGGAAAACGGCGAATTTTCGGACTCTCATTGGCTCACCATATGACGCGCCCCAATGTAATTGCCGAAGGGTCATGTTCACGGCAAGGTAATGTGCCGCAACAATTTGTCTAAGCCACTGCCCGTAAATAATAGACTTTAACTAAAATTATGACTGCAGTCGGTCATAATTAGCCTGAACAGCCTAAATCTTACAAGACGTAAAACTTCCAAGAGACACGTAAATGCATCTATTCTAAAATGTTTTCCCTTTCTCTTTAATAAACACGCATCAGTCACTTTGTCGAGGCGATTTTCAGCAATATGTGCGTTTGATAGTAAGTCTATAATTTGCATCATACCTCGACCAGGACCACCCAATCTCCCTCAGATTTCTAAAGCTAGGCCCCCGTCCCAATTAATAAGCTTACGTTTTATGTATGACGGCGGGTTATCACATAAAATGGGCGGCCCAACGAGGTTAAACGTACAGGTCATTCATTATACTATAATGCTAGCTGCAAACTCGACGATTAAATTATATAGAACGTCGGGGAAAAGTAAATAAGTTCCCTGAGGAATAAAAAGCAGAAAATTGTCTGAACGGTTTCGGCGGTAGCGTTGACCACAGACGGACAGAAAGACGATTTGCCGTCAATCAAATTTTCGATATCAAAGACTCACAGAACGTGATTTCTGACTTTCTCATCGTGTTAGAGAAAGCAATTTACTAGATTTTGGAACATTATTTATTTATTTATTTATTCGTTACCAGGACAAAAAAAATTCTGTCGAAAAATAGTCGTTTTCCCCCGCACAATTACAATACGTTCTCTTCATTGCATACGTGGTAAGACGAAAAAGTAAAAAGCATATGATTTGATTTGGGTACATTATATATTGGTAAAATTCAAGGACGTAGGAATCGGGAAAAACATGTTAAATTGAGAAAAAATTACTTCAGAATCACAGCATCGCCGGTCCGGTTGGCCGAGATTGCTAAGGCAGTAGAGCCGGAGCGGTCTAGGAGCCAAGGATCGCGGGTTCGAGTCCCGCCTGGGGCTTGGTTGTATTGTGTTCGTCCTTTCACACCCTTATCATCATATCGTGTCATCCTCATAGTTACCATATCGTTACACGCAATAGTAGTCGCTAATGACCTAGAAGTTGATGCGACATTAAAAAACAAAAAATAAAAATAAAAATCGCAGCATTAGAACAAGAGTTAACGGCAAACTCTCTGAAAATGCAAGAATTAAATGCGGCATCCTCCAAGGATCAGTGTTGACCGTCACCCTATTCCTGTGACAGATAAACGGGGCTGATGAAAATATATATCGCTAGTAATTGCAAGTAAGTTTTCGACAGAGATGCCATTATATGTAACGGAAAAAATAATTCTTTATACACCAAGGGCGTTATAGAATGATCAAGGGGGCAAAGGCCCTAGGGCTTTTGAGACACCAAAGCGATGAAGTATCAGTGAAAAATAAACATTCTTCCTACAAGAGACATAATTCAAAATTATCGAAACAACCTACGAACAAAACATTTTTACTGTCCTTTGATACATACTAAAAAAAAGGAAAATTAAAAAAAATTGAATTCTGTTTTTGAAATTGTTTTTAAAAATTTCAAAATTGCTTTTATTTCAGAAAAATTACGCGAAATCTACTCGTATTTTGGAAAATTAGTACATGACCATATTTTAAAGATGCCTGTAAAGAACCGATTCCATCCAAAAAATCTCTATTTTCAACATTGTAGTTGTAGGAAGGCGCCAAAAAAACAGAATGTTTGCCTTTTCCGAAAACTCAGAGATTTCATATAAGCGTTCTCTATGCTACTCGAGGACAAAGTTTAAAAAAAAATTGGAACCAGTTTTGAGAAAATGTTGAGGCTTCATGTACCTCCCAAAATTAAAATATCTGTTTCAAACTCAGTTCATTTCAATCTATCGAGGAATGTCAATTTTGGAGAACATGGGACGGACGGACAGAGACGTTCTGCCTTCAATCTATTTTTCTCCAATATAATAGGGTCCTATAATCCGATAATATATTAAATACAACAGAAATAGTGGTCATGAATACTATAATAACACAGTACACCAGTTATCAAGAATTCATCAGTTATGAGGAATTACCACATATGAAGTATTTACAAAAAAGTTGCTGTTCGACTATGCAACTCTTACATAACGAATATTTAGCGGTCTCTTCTTTGAAACTATGCTGATTCGTCAGCTGTGTTGTAGGCAGTGACAACTGAATACGAGAATTCAGTAGAATAGGCGGCCCAACACAATCAACTATTTACATTTTTCAGTTAAAATAGAAACTGTTTCATTGGTATTGACTTTTCCCCCGGTCCTGGGTATCTAACGAGACTAGGAACTTCGGTCGGAGAATAATTTTCTTTCAATTTCTGAGCACATTGGAAATTACAAATAGATAATATGTTTCAATTATTTTTAATTACAGGTTAAATAAATGGAAGAAGCGAGGAATTAGCATTGTGCCTACAAAATTTGGCATATCCTTTACCTGCAAATTCTTAAATCAAGCTGGTGCATTAGTGCATGTTTATACAGATGGATCAGTACTTCTCTCTCACGGTGGAACGGAAATGGGCCAAGGATTACATACAAAGATGATACAGGTAGTGTTTTGGAGTCAAATGTCATTGTACAGAATAAAAACTTAATTGTTATTTCTAACTTTGTAATTTACTATTAATAGTTTAATTATTTTAAAATTGTATTTGTTGCTACAGGTTGCCAGTCGAGCTTTGGGAATTTCAGAATCACTAATACACATATCGGAAACTTCTACGGACAAAGTTCCTAACACATCAGCTACCGCAGCAAGTGCCGGATCGGACCTGAACGGGATGGCTGTTTTGGTAATAAATAAATCTAGAGCATTTAAATTTATTGTGAAATTTGTATTTTTTGGGGCTTTAACCTTAACACGTAAAACTACTATTGATATTTACTACAGTCGATATCATTTATAACGACCACCAGGAAATACTTTGTTGATTGACTACCATTACAAACTATAGCTAAAATGGGGATTGAAAGGTAAAACTGGTGAAATCACGAAAAAACTAGCATTTTCAATTGAACGGGAGAGATAGACGCCCTAAAAGAATGAGGGGAGGGTCAGCGTGTAAAAAGTGATGCCATGAACCAAGAAAAGGAGCTGCCAGCGGCATAGTCGAACTTAACAAAGGTCACATGTAATGTGCAATTATCAATGTGCAGAGAGAAATTGAATAAAAATTATCGAGTTTTCGGTATCAAGGACTCTCGAAACATAGATTCTGACAACACAGCATGTTAGAGGACGTACTCGTAGTTTACCATATATAGGAACAGGATTTATTCTCTTTTTCGTTACGGGGCTCTGAAATAAAGAGTATTGCTGTCGAAAAATAGCCGTTTTCCGGAGCACTATTACAATACTTTCTCTTCTTGTGTATTAATTGAATCATTACTAAATAATAATAATAATAATAATAATAATAATAATAATAATAATAATAATAATAATGAGGGGTTGGTACCGTGACCATACGGGTAACTCGCGTTGTGCATCGACTCTGTATTAAGGAGCGCTTTCGGACGTCCCACGGAAGTTTCTACACGTCAGTATAGCACTGATAGAGAAGGATAGGCTCGGGAATCGCGGGTAAGTGTTAGCAACACGCGGGCCTTGAGCATTGGCGAACCCCAGAAGGAGGAAGACAACTGGACGGAGGTTCGGAGGAAAAAGAAGGAACCGCCCAATAACGGCAGAGCCGGTCGGGGCCAGAAAGAAAAGAAGAATGCCAAAGCCCGCACGAATGCAGTACTTATCAAGCCGAGCGAAGGCAAAGCGTATGCAGAAGTGATAGGCGCCCTCCGCAGCAAGATAAGGCCGGAAGACGAAAATGTCGAGGTAAGAGGCATTCGAAAGACTAGAGACGGCAACGTCCTGGTGGAGCTGGGCAACCAGTCGCATGAATGTAAAACATTCCGCAAGATAGTGCAAGAAGCATTAGGGGAGGCATGTGACGTCCGCAATTTGACACCACAGGCACGTTTAGAAATTCGTGATTTGGACTGTCTAACCACAGAGGAGGAGGTAAGGCTAGCAATCCAAAGAGAAACGAATGCCGACCCAAACGAACTGAAGGTAACGGTGCTACAGCCTAACAGCCGCGAACAAAGGTTGGCCATTGTGGAGATGGAGGAGGCGATAGCCACTCCCCTGCTGTACAAACAGCGCGTTAAGATAGGTTGGGTCAACTGTCGCGTAGGCAGAAGAATTAACGTCCCCCGCTGTTACAAGTGTCTTGACTATGGCCACGTGCAAAAAGACTGCAAAGGACCGGATAGGAGCGACCTGTGTTGGAAATGTAGCAAAGCAGGACACAAACACAATGAGTGCCAAAATAGACCGGCATGCGTGCTATGCGCAACCCGATCCGGTGCAAGGGCAGATCACACACCCGGAACAGGCGTCTGTAGGCCATTCAGAGAGGTATTAGAGCAGAAGAGAATAGCGACATCAAGAAAATGAAGAGAATACTGCAAGGAAACTTAAACCGCAGTAGAATTGCCTCGGATCTCCTCGATCAGCTAGTCAACGAGCTGAAAGTAGACATTCTGATGATCTGCGAGCCGTATAGGGACAAGAGCTCCACAGCATGGTTTTCTGCTGCCTCAAGTACCGCGGCCATCTGGATTCCCGACACTAGATGAACCCACGCCGAACGCCATGGAGTAGGCCCGCACTATGTATGGGCAAAGATAGATGGAATAACGTACGTGAGATGCTATCTGTCCCCAAATGACACCATTGAATAATTCCGACAGAAACTCGCAAAACTTGAAGACTGCCTAACAGACATCCAGACGGAGGTTGTAGTGGCCGGGGACTTTAACGCGAGGGCACTGGAATGGGGCATGCTGCGAACAGACACGAGAGGAATGTTACTTTTGGAAATGGCCGCACGACTGGGCTTGATAGTCATCAACAAGGGCTCCACTCCAACCTACAGAAGACCCGGGTTCGGAAACTCTATCCCAGACATCACGCTCATGACGGAGAGACTAGCGGCTAAGGAGCAAGGCTGGCGAGTCATTGAGGACTACACCAGTAGCGACCACCAATACTTAGTATTCCAGATACGTTATAAGGAAAGACAGGATACACGTGAAGATCACCTCACCAGACGGTACAAACGATGGAACGACGCAAAAATGGACAAAGGGAAACTACAGAGAGCGATCCAGGATGGTCTGGAGTCTATCCCCCAACTGGCCGGAGGACCGCCGTAAGTGGACAAGGCACAAACAGATACCCTCCGTAGAGGCCAACCATGCAACGCTCAGTACAAGCACATGCAACGCAATATATGCCCATTAAAGATAGAGGAAACGGAATACGCCCGCGCCTATTGTGTGGCCAAATGAAATAGCTGAATTACTGCAAATTGCCTCAAACTCCGCAGAAAGCACAGCGAGCACAACAGACCAACCCCCGCGAAGCTAGCAGAGTTCACAGCGGAGCACAAGGTTGCGATGGAAGACACTGCGAAACGGCCATCAAGAGCAACAAAACGAGTGCTGGAAAACTGTGCGCGGAAGTCGACACTGACCTCCTGGGGACCTAGGGTTACAAATTGTACCCAGAAACTAGGACCCTTGGACCTACGTCTCCCCTACCCAGACGAAACGTACGAACATAGTGGAGGGCTTCTTTCCACGCACCCAAATTAGAGCGAAGGAAACGATGAACGGGGAGTATCGACGTACATACCTTCAGCAAGAGGAGCTAGTAGCGGCGGTAAGCTCCCTAAAAACCAAGAAGTCACCTGGACCATATGGCATACAGGCGGAAGGTGTATACAATCGATGGGAAAACACCCCACAACTGCTGTAGATTCATGTACAGACATCTGTCTCAAAGCAGGTATTTAGCACTCGCTTGGAAAACCGCGCGACTGGCCCTCGAAGCAGGGCAAAGGCGACCATGCACATTCCACAGAGTACAGACTCTTCTGCATGTTAAGATTGTAGCGGGAAAATCCTGGAAAGCCTGACCCCGGTTGTGGCGGCTACGAAGTGCAGGAAATCTGTCGAACCAACAGACACGGGTTCAGACGAGGGCGCACCACGATAGGACCATACGGAGTTTACGCAAGCCGTCGACAGAGCGAACGAGGCAAGCCACGCGCCGCCCAATCGCCCTTCTGTACCCTCGACTCAGAATTGCGTTTAACCTCGAAATGGCGTGACATCCTGGACGCGCTGGAAACACACCTTCAAGTCCCCAAATACCTTACCGTTAATGTAAGGGGACTAACCTTAAGGATCGTTACATCCTAACAGACAACAAAACGGGGCAAGAATCCAAGCCAGTCACCGCGCGTGTTGGCACGGGCTCAATACAGGACCAGTTTCTGGAACGCAGTTACGACAGGCTTGCTAGGACAGAATCCTGAAGGCACTCGTCAGGTCGGATACGCAGACGACACAGCGCCGTCATAGAATGCCCGGTAGCGTTGAGTAGACAATAAGGCTAAACCAGTGGATTGATGCGAGTAAAGTGATGAATGGAAGGCCCACGGTCCTGCATTTGTTGGCACCCCAAAACGGAAATCGTGGTACTCACCAGAAAAAGAATCCCCACATCTTACCCTTGCAAGCGGGAAGAGAAAAGGCGTACTAACGAAACCGTCCACAAAGTATCTGGTGGTAAACCCTGGACACGAAGCTTACTTTCTGGCCCCACATTAAAGAGGAGGAAAGCCGCCGACAAAGCTGCAACCACAATCGCAAGCACTCAGCAGTTTGTGGCCAACGACCGAACAAAAGGAGACTGCCGATGTCGACCAGGACAGTCCATACTGTTGTACGGAGTGAAGTGTGGCCGAAGCGATTGATGTGAAAATACTACAGGAACTCCGCATCACGCGGTGTTCAGCGTAGTGGAGCAATGGGGGTGCATATACCCACAGTCTCCGAAGACGTGCCATCCTCTGTGGATTGCTGGTATCAGATACCCAATACCAACGACCTCGCTCGCGCTGGAGACGCAAGCGTTATTTATAACGTAGGAGCGCAGGCGACGCAGAGCGCAAAGCTGGGCCACAAGAGGAGCGGAAGTAGACAAAGGGCGCTGCTGCAGTATATAGAACCTGGAACGACGGACCAAACAGGAGGGACGCGACCGACTTATTGAAGTTGTGCCGTGGGTGCAACGCGAATTGGGGAAGTGAGACTATACTACCTCTCCATGTTACGACTACAGGTACATCGGCTACTTCTAGAGACTATCTCTACGCGGTTATGGGGAGGTGTAAATCACCTCACTAGTAAGCACTGTGAACATCAATTGGACACCGCCGTAGCACACCTTTTTCAGTTACAACTCGTAAAGAAAACTCTATAAACTAGAGTAAACGACACGTGTAGTCTTATGCCAGAGAATATTGTCGACAGTCAATGCTAAGAAATGAGAAGATCCGAACGCAATTTCCACTACTTCATAGAACAGCGTTCTGCGGGCAAAGAAGGAAGAAGGTTGTCAATGCGATCAGCGGATACCATGGGACCGGAACAAAAATGAAAGAGGACATCATCACGAAAGGCTCCCAGCCTGAAGTAATTGCGAAAGCGGTCCCAAGGCCTGAGGGCCAGAAGAGACACAGGTGGCTTATTTTTAGTGAGGTCGCCTAGCAAGAGGTAATCCCACACTGTTGAGAAACCGGTCCCGCTCTTCGCCTTTTGAAGGTTTTATTCCACCTGGCGCAAAATAATAATAATAATAATAATAATAATAATAATAACAATAGTAATAATAATAACAATAGTAATAATAATAATAATAATTATTATTATTATTATTATTATTATTTAGGTATCTATAATGAGTGATAACGTGATATCAAGGCATCGCAAGTGTTCACTAGGAGATCAGGGGTTCGATCCCGCCAGGTTCCAGGAGTGTGTTTGGTATTGAACGTCGTGGAGTTAGTAGGGTCTGTTCGTAGTTTGACTTGTCTATTGGATGGGGCAATACACTGCGTGCAAGGATCACCCGCGACCTTTCTCTATTCTGAAATCCGAACCATCCCTCATCTGGATCCCCTCTCCTCATATGACCCCTTGCCACATTGGTCAAATGAAGTCTCAGACAAGCGTTGGAGAACCGGAGATTCAGTGTTGTGAGACCTACTGACTTGTCTCATGTTGGGTAATTCCATGAAAACAAATGGTATGCCTTTCTAAGATTTCCTTGTGTTTCAGAATGCATGCCATACAATATTAGAAAGACTTCAACCAATTAAGAAAGCAAATCCATCTGGAGGATGGGAAGATTGGATCAAAGCAGCATATGTTGAGAGAATAAGTTTATCTGCAACTGGATTTTATAGGTATGTACAGAGCAGGAAGTTACAATTTAATTCTTAAATATAATACTACTTTGAACTTTGTAGCAGTGACTGCCATAGTAATATGAAACACAAAGTTCTTTTTTCTGAATTATATGTGAGGTCGAAAATATTGAAATTAAAAAATGGACATTGGAATAAAAACTTTCATTAATAATGTCTATATTTTATTTAATATGCTTATAACATTATACTTATTCACTCTTCAATATATATATATATATATATATAT